ACATGTGACAAAATTACCCGATTGGAATGCATTTTAATGATATAATGAAACCAAAACACATTAAGGCTATGTTTGGCAAACTAGCTGAAAAGCTAGCTGATAACTGAAAAACTAGCTGCTATCTTATAAACTAGCTGACAAAAAATAACGTTTGATACAAACTAGCTGATAAGCCAAGTGAAAGATATAAAATGACATTTAGAAGAATACATTTTTTGTAATTAATTAAGGGTATATTTGGAAAAATTTTAAAAAGCTTCTAAAAAGCTACTCAAAGTAGCTTTTTAAAAAACTGATTTATCAGTTACTTTTTAGTTTGCCAAACGTGACAATTTAAAAAAAAAAAAAAAAAAAAAAAAAAACTCGAAAAATAAGTTAGCTGTGGCGTACCACACACAGCCTAAATGACCAATTACATATAAATATAAATTTAATAACATATTGATTACATTATAAATAATCCAAAATCAAATTAAGTACTATTTATTTGTCATAATATTGGTTGTAATGACATTAACCAAGAAAAGACATCATAACATCTCATGATTCTTATCATATGATCTAAGAACGGATGCATATTAATTTTAGTATCTTTATTTTTAAATCATTAATCCTATATCAAAGTGAATAACAAGTTAATACAAAGAATTAAGTGACCGTTTCTATAGTTTACTCTAAAAAGAAAGAATTGTAACAAAAACTCAAAAATACAGGGGCCAGGTTGCAAACCCTTTCTTCATCATCAATTCATCATCATACCAAAAACAAGTCTGCTTTGGTTGGAGTGGCGAGATAAAGAGTGAAACACCGCTGCTACGTTGTGTTCTGAGACGATCAACAACTGTTTGATCAACCGATTACAAAAGGGTTTCTCAATTTCGCATTCCGCCTGTTCATATATGGTGTTTATAGAATCTTCTCTCGGTTTCTGATCAAATGGCATCCGCCTTTCTTTCAAGAACTCTCTTTGCACATCGTTTCGTCTCGTCTTTCGCCTTCAACCAAAAACCCCAGAAATTAGCGCCCTTTTTCTTCGTAAGCATCCGCTTTTGATCATATTAACATATCCGAATTTAGTTATTTGCTCTGTTGATTTGTCTTCCGGTTGTAATTATTGCTGGTAGGTTGGGAATCATTTGATATCAGTAGTTATTTGGATTTTTTTTTCTAATTCAATCGGCGATAGTTGTCGATTGTCTCATAACATAATCCAATAGGTTGGATTTGGTACCATTTTTTTGGTAAATTAGATGGAAAATGTTTAATCCATCACTTTTTGAATGCAAACTTAGTAGGTTCGTAACCATTACAGTTACCTCATGTAGCTATTTTCCCTCATTTTCAGAAGAAACCCCTTCATTCGTGGGCTTTCCCATCTCAATCGGTGTATAGGAGGCAGACCTTAGTTCGTAGTGACATGGCTTCCACCATGGTTGGATCTACATCTCCTTTCTCAACACAGTCCATGTCAACTTCTGAGCCTGTTGTTTCAGTTGACTGGCTTCATGCCAATCTTCGTGAGCCTGATATGAAGGTACTGGATGCATCCTGGTACATGCCTGATGAACAAAGAAATCCACTTCAAGAGTATCAAGTGCGTATTTTGATCTCTGAACTTCTTACTTCTGTATGTGGCATTTTATCAAACACTTGTATGATCACTTGCTGATATTGTTCAAACGAGGTCTCAACAGGTTGCACACATTCCTGGTGCTCTTTTCTTTGATGTAGATGGGATATCTGATCGCACTACTAATGTGAGACACTTATCTTTCAATCCTTTCTGTGTTTTCTTTTGAAGTAAAACTGAAAATATGGAACCTTTAATTCAGCTGCCACACATGTTGCCATCTGAAGAAGCATTTGCTGCTGCTGTTTCTGCTCTTGGTATTGAAAACAAAGATGGAGTTGTTGTTTATGATGGTAAGGGGATCTTCAGTGCTGCTCGTGTCTGGTGGTAAGTTTCATTTCCTTAAAATTATGAGGGCATTTTTGTCTTTTACACATTGGTCCACCAAACACAGTACAACATGTTCTGTTCTGAGTTATGACATGTCATGTCATGTGTAACAAATGGGGCCTACCTGCTATGGGTTAGGGCTGATGTCATGATGAAATTGTATAGGATGTTTCGAGTTTTTGGACATGATAGAGTATGGGTGTTAGATGGAGGCCTTCCTATGTGGCGAGCTTCAGGTTTTGATGTTGAATCGAGTGCTTCAAGTGATGCCATATTGAAAGCTAGTGCTGCCAGCGAGGCAATAGAAAAAGTATACCATGGCCAAGCTGTAAGTCCATAAATTTCATATAATATATTTATATAAATCTATAAACCAACTTTATATAACTTTTTTTCTGTATTAAAGTTATTAGAAATTGATCTCTTTTTTTTTTGGCAGGTTGGTCCAGTTACATTTCAAACAAAATATCAGCCACATCTTGTATGGACACTTGAACAGGTTTGTTGGATTAAATTTGGTTGCATTTTTTTTTTTTTTAAATTCATTTCAGTTTGTTTTTTGGGCCCATTTTATGATGTATTTGTTGTTATTGATTGTTTCAGGTTAAAAAGAACACAGAAGACCAAACACATCAACATGTAGATGCTCGGTCAAAGGCCAGGTATAAAAAAATGTCAAATTTAATGATTTTTAATTATATATTATGAACTTTAATGGTGTTTTTTGAATTTTGATTTGTTTACAGGTTTGATGGAGTTGCAGCTGAGCCTAGAAAAGGAATAAGAAGTGGCCATGTGCCTGGGAGCAAGTGCATTCCTTTTGCTCAGGTAATCATGAATTGTCTATAAATCACAGTAAAAAAACAATAAGGGCAAATTTGTAAAAAGTTAGGATTAATGGGGAAAAGTGAAAACCTCCTCTTTTTTTATCAAGGCGTTCTTTCTGTATTAAGTAAAAACGAAACACATATATAAAAAGACTATGTTTTTATAAATGTTTCTTGGTTTTGTTCATTCTTATAGATGTTGGAGAGCTCACAGACACTACTATCAGCGGACCAACTTAAGAAAAAGTTTGAACAAGAGGGTATTCTCGTCAATTTCAAAATTCTACTTCTCTTGTTACTGAAGTTTTCACCCATTAGGTCATTTGTTGAATGGTAGTGTGTCTGTTTCACTTGGGTAAAAAAAAAAAAAACAACCATGTATAAGCGTCCAGATTAAGTGCTTAACCCATTAAGTCAAAAAGAAACAACCCCTTATATGCATTCGACTCATTATGAATAATGAATAGACCACTTTAAGTTTACCCCTTTTATGATTGCATTCCATTTGAACTTTAATGGTAGTGTGTCTTTTTCACTTGGGTATCGAAAAGTTAATAAAAAAAAGTAAGTCTTGCAGTAAATTTGGGACATTTAGAGGACAAGATAGATTATTTTCTTGAAATAAATTAAAAAAAAAAGGGATATTTTTTCATTGATGACTTGAAAATTACTGTTACAGGAATCTCATTGGACGGACCTGTTATGGCTTCATGTGGCACTGGAGTTACCGCATGCATTCTTGCATTGGTGAGATATTCTATTTTGATTTTTTCCTTTGGATTTGAACAATAAAACAAAAATGGCATTTTGGATATTTTTTTAGAAAAATGATTTGAGTGTTGGATTTTGTAATTGTAGGGACTCCATCGACTTGGGAAGACAGATGTTCCGGTTTATGACGGATCTTGGACAGAATGGGGAGCACAAGAAGATACTCCTGTCGCAACTTCAACTCCAACTCCTACTTCTTGATCTTAACAAACAACAATTTTATGGGCACATGGAACAAGCACAAACATGGAGATTGTCATCATAAACATGGACTTTTTGTATTTCAACTGTTTGATTTGGTGGGTGGATTCTTTTCGATTTTATGCAACTAAAAAGTCGTGTATTCCAGTGCCTATGTGTCTGACTAAGGCAACAAAATTGTATTTTCATGTTGAGTATCAATTTGGTTGATGGATTAGGGTTTGAATTGCACATAAGTAGAGGGTTTTGATCATGAGTTGGTGGATCGAAATATCGTATTAACTTGTTTGATTATGCAATTCAAACTCCGACATGTTATGTTAAACACGAATAAAGGTTGAATTTTGATTTGAGGTCCTAATTTGTGTGATATGAGTCTAATGTAACCTCCAAATTGTTTGTATGGTGTAAATTAAACCAAATAAGATGTCAAGGTGGTCTAGGGGTGATCAAACACTTTACAGAGAGTTGGCATGCGTTCAAATATTATAGGTTGCAATCTTGGAGTGACTTGTTTTTGCACATGCATGTAATATAACAAATGTTGGAATTTGACCACATAAGATGGATGCTACGCAGTGGATGCATGTCATTAATACAATAAAAAAAAGGTTGATGCATGTCATTGATATGTCAAATGTGTTCATGGATGTCCTTAGAGATGCAACCAACACAAGTGGCTTTGGGTGCAATGGTTAGTGCTTCAGTGTTGGTATGGAAGAGGAGCATGGGATAACACTTCCTTGAGCTAATATTAATATGTTGGTGTGTTCTCTTGTCACCATACTTCATTCATTCATCTTATTTTCAAAGTAACATATGTTATGAGATCGTTCATGGCATGTCAATACAAGTAACGCATCTCATTGTTTGACCAATAACATTGACAATTGATTATAGTTTTCACTAAGCCACTACATCTTGTTTTTTTAAACAATTTTGACACCAATTATATGATGTAATCAAACATTGACGCATTATCATGTCATATGTAGCAACCGAACGAGAATGACTAAGAAAACGATCAAAATTGAACAACAAAAAAACAATGTTCCAATTTGTAAAAAGAAACACTAAAAAACTTGATGTTTTTTGTGACATTTAACCCCAATTTTTCCCTCTTTCATTTTTTAAGTATTTATTTGTTTTAAGAATAACTAGAAAAATTATCAAAAATACCTTTACGTTGAACGGATGTTCATAAAACCTTTTCAAAACTTTATGAAAATAAAACAAAACTATAAAGCAACATATTTTACCATGACACATCATCAAATCACCAATACAACGTGTCATTCATACAAGGGAAAATGATTCCAACTCAAGAACCATATGAATGCTCAAAAAACAAAGGCCACAATATGTTCACACACACCTTCACATGACCTTTTTATTAACTTCTACCCTAAACTTAAAACCGTCAAAAAACCGCAAAAGTTGGCTTCCATTATGACATTTCTGACCCTGGTTCAAAACACAAAACAAGATCAAAAGACAGGGGCTCAAGCGTCATTCAAGGCGAGCACACCTGGAAGTGTTTTTCCTTCTAGAAGCTCCAAGCTGGCACCGCCACCTGTCGAGATGTGGCTCATCTTGTCAGCTAGCCCAGCCTTCTCCACTGCTGCAACCGAATCACCACCTCCAATGATGGTTGTCACTCCCTTTCCACTAAGCTCCGCCAGTTTCTTTGCAATAGCCTGAAAACAAAACATATATAACCATTAAGACTATGCATTGTCAATTAAGGGTATTTTAGTAATTTCACTAGTGTATGTATGTGTACCTCTGTTCCTGCAGCAAACTTCTCAAACTCAAACACACCCATAGGTCCATTCCAGATAACAGTTTGAGTAGTATCCAAAGTTTCACTGAATGACTTAATGGAATCTGGACCAATGTCTAATCCCATCCAGCCATCAGGAATACTATTGGCTGGAACAATCTGTAATGGAGCAAATATATAATAAGGAAAGGGCAATATGGGGAAAAAGATAATAAAAGAAAAGAGAAAAAAAAGAAAAAAAGAAAACCTTGCTGTTCGCATCTGCAGCAAACTTGTCAGCAATTACAACATCAGTAGGGAGTAACAGAGACACCCCTTTAGCCTTGGCATTTTCAAG